AATAAGTCAGATATAGAAAGATAAACACTGTATTATCTCACATGTAGAATTTTAAAAAGCCAAACTCATATATAGAGAGAATAGATTCATGGTTGCCAGACGGTAGAGGCAACCACGAAGGTTGAGGGGGTAGTGGTAGAGGGTAGAGGGTAGTGGTAACTGGGGTGACTGCACGAAGGTGGCAAAAGGTACAAACTTCCAGGTACAAGATAAATAAGTTCTGGGCATTAGATATAATATAATCAATATAATGTACACTATGATGAGTATAGTTAATACTGCATGTATATTTGAAAGCTGCTAAGAGAATGAATTCTAAAAGTTCTCATCAGGAAAAAAATTCTATGTGAAGTGATGTATGTTAACTAAACTTACTGTGACAACCAATTTACAATATATACATATATCAAATCATTTTGGTGCACAACGTAAACTATTGCAATATCATATGTCAATTATATCTCAGTAAGACTCGGGGTAAAAAGTGGAAAACATCTGAATAGGACTCAAAACCCAGAATTCATGAAAGAAAAGGTTGCTAACGTTGATGACATAAAAACTAAATTTCTTTATGGCAAAAGATAGAAATTATAAACTTGTCCCAAATAGAGCATATTAGAGAAAAAATTTCAATCTACATTGCAGACAAAGGTGAATCTCAAAATACAAGATCAAAACACAAAATAGAATCAGAATAAAGATCATACAATTTTTTTAAAAAAGGGAGTGAAAATGGACTCATAATAAAACAACAGTTATCAAACTAAACTGAGATATGACACAAAACAGGTTTTTACCCCATTGTCAAAATTCCTATGTTTGGCAGCATGCTATTTGCAAGGCTACAGGGAAAGTGGTACTTTCCTACTGTTGGTACCACCTTCAAAATATATCCAGATTCTGGCCACCTCAAGATATCCTCAGTGCTAATTTAGTACAATGGATTCTTTCTTGAATCACTTGACTAGCTTCCTAAACTATCTCTGCTTCGACCAGTGCCCCACTAAAGTCACTTCTTACAGGAGCCAGTGATTCTTCTAAAATGCAAAACAGATCATGTCCTTTCATAGCTCCTAACCCACATTATCACTAGATAAATGAAAAACTATGGTGTATGCAGGGATTGGAAAGCTCAGTATGCTCCAATATCAACTGTTAGCTCTCCTCAGGTAGATCTCATACAATCACAGGCAAAAATCCCAGGAAGCTTTTATGAAATAGACAGAATAATTCTAAATTATTTGTTTTTTTGTTTGTTTGTTTTTCTTTGACAGAGAGAGCCCAAGCAGGGGAGACAGCAGACAGAAAGAGAGGCAGAGGGAAAAGCAGGCTCCCTGTGAAGCAGGGAGCCCAACATAGGGCTGAATCCCAGGACCTTGGGATCATGACCTGAGCCGAAGGCAGACACTTACTGAGCCACCCAGGTGCCCCATAGACCACGATTCTAAATGGAGAAGTATAGGACCTAGAAGATACAAAATAATTCTGAAAAGAAAAAAGTTCAAGAACTCACATCACATGATTTCTTTCTTTTTTTTTTTTTTTTATTTATGATAGTCACAGAGAGAGAGAGAGAGAGAGAGAGGGGCAGAGACACAGGCAGAGGGAGAAGCAGGCTCCATGCACCGGGAGCCTGACGTGGGACTCGATCATGGGTCTCCAGGATCGCGCCCTGGGCCAAAGGCAGGCGCCAAACCGCTGCGCCACCCAGGGATCTCACATCACATGATTTCATGACATGTAGTTAATCAATGATAATCTAGACAGTGTTGTAAAGGCAAAATGAGAGACACAAAACAACATAACAGAGTCCAGAAATAGATGGACAAATACACAGTCAAATGACTTTCAACAGATGCCAAGGCAATTCAACGGAGATAAAGTGCCTTCTTAACCAATGGTACTGGAAGTAATAAAGCTTCATAAGACAGGAAAAAAAAAAACCTTTCCTTGAACAGCCACAACTTGTATCATAAAAATTAAACTCAAACTGATCATAAATGTAAATGTAAAATCCAATCACTATAAACTTTTAACAGATACCACAGGAATGTATCTGTGACCCTGATTAGGCAAGGATTTCTTAGATGGGACCAAGAACAAAACAACAAAAACAACACCCATAAAGGCTGATATTTTGATAAATTTTGATAAATTTTAAATTGATCAATTAAAAATGTCTGTTCTTAGAAGGCAGCATTAAGCAAATTAAAAGATAAGCCACTGGATTAGAATACATTCATAAAACATTCCCAATGAATAACCTGTATCCATAACATCTAAACAACTCTCAAAATTTAGGAATAAGAAAAATTCAATGAGAAAAAAACTGCGAAAGATTTGAGAAAAGATTTGACATTTCAATGCAGAGGAGGTACAGATAGCAAATAAATGAAATGATGTTCAACATCATTAGACATCAGATTAAGTTGAAAATAAAATACCTGTACATACTTAGCAGACTGGCTTAAATTGAAGGGGGGAAAAAAAAAGCCCAAACCCAAAAAAAACAAAAACAAAAAACAAAAAACAAAAAACAAAAAACCACAACACTACTTCATACCAAACACTGGCAAGGATTCAGAGCATCTGGAAATCTCAATGGCAGGGCCACCTCAAGAAACAGTATGGCAGTGTCTTATGATGTTAAACCTGCATACATTACAAGACCCAGCCTCCCACACACTCTTAATCATATTCTCAAGAGAAATGAAGATATGTGTCCATGCAAAAAAGACTGAATAATGAACACTTACAGTGGCTTTACTCACAAAGCCAAAAGCTGGGAACAACACAAATGTCCATCAACTGGTAAATGGATTAACACATCATGATAGATCCACTCATTGGAAAATGGGACAAACTTCTGAAAGATGCAACAGCATGTGTGGGTCTCAACGTATTATGTGGATGAAAAGTGTGATGGCCTTCAATGCCCCCACGTGATCTGTCTGTCCTCTTTTACCCATTCAGCTATGCTGCAGCCATCCTGGCGGGCTTGCTGTTCACACTGTTTGTAGGCCTCTGGTTTCTGCTGCCTCAGGGTACTTAGACTGGCAGCTTCCTTGGCTTTAAGTGTTCTTCTGTAAATACCTGCTAGTCTTCCTCCCTCACATTTGTCAAATATTTCTTCCAGTATCTTTTCAGGGAAGCTTATCTGATCAATTTATTTAAAATTAAATTTGGTCCTCACAACATGCTCCTTGTTTTATTTCTTCTACGGCAATTATCCAATAATAAAGTCTCTTATGTTTATGATCACCCATCACCTGAATGTAAGTTACACGAGGGCCTAAATCATTGTCAGCTGTTTATGCAGTTAACTACCACACTGTATGCAGCACATTAGATGCTCAATATACCAATTATGAATAAGCACTTCACATGCAGGAATACAAATATAACAATGACTATGGAGGACAATTACACAATATTTAATAAAATGAAACTGCATTTAACCTCTGACCATTTTAGCCTATCCTTTCACCCATACAAACATATATAATTATGAACAACCTGAATGTCTTTCAATAGCCCATTAAATAATTAGTATCTTTACATAATAGAAGCCTATGAGCTATATTTTTAAAAATGAGGATGCTTAAATATCAATATGGAAGAATGTCCAAATTATATTTAAGAAAAAACAAACTTTAAAGCAAGAATACGTGAATGCTATAACTGTTGGTTAAGCATGGGAAGGAAATTAAAATACATTCATATTTAATTGTGTTATTGTAAATAAACAATGGAATGGTATGATAAACTTCCAATGACAATTGTAGAGGACACCATGTAGGTAGGAACAGGGATGCTAGCAGGAGTAGGGCTTCTCAGTATGTATCTTGGAGCCAAATGAATACATTACTTGTCCAAAAATTCAAAAAAAAAAAAAAAAAAAAAAGACAGCTGGGTACGCAGAAGCAGAAAGACCAAAAAATTGGGTACATGTTTCCTTAACTCATGGGATTTCGAATACAATGTCAGCATAAAATCTGAGTCCACCTGAGACTCTGAAATTCTAGTTTCACATTTGGGCCAACTAGAACATAACTGTTGCATGCTGATAACTAAAACAACATCTTAGCAATCTGTAATAGGAGGTACTCTACTTATACCAATAAAGGATGCCTACTTGCATCCTAATGTTAAAAGTCAGAATTAATGGTAAACAGTGTAAAACAGTGTAAAAAAGTAAAGCTTAACTTGATCTGAATTTAATTCTACTTTTCTGAATGTATGGACTCTTTATAAACCTCTTAAATCCATCCTAATACAATATGAGAAATGAATAAAATACTCACCCAAGATGTGTTCATTTTCTGCACCTCTTGGGAGATTGCAAGGTTCAGCGGGGTGGACAGAAAAGGAGGGAGTCGAGATCAAGTGCCCTACCTCCCAGCTCCTAAATTCACCTGCACAAAATCTCAGCATCCCTGATGGGCAGCAGGCTCCCTACAGGATTGGGAATATGGACCCTTGAAAACACGTGGAACATGCAGAGCCAACAAAAACTGTCCACATGGAGTCCCTGAATTGATTATGGGGATATATACCTGCAGGTTTCTACACTTTTTCTTTCAACTTAAAAAAAAAAAATAGAAAAAGCAAAAGATTCAAGTATACGAAAGGACAACCACTTGCTCTTTCATTAATTTTAACACAGAAAACAACAACAAACCTCTGGCTCCACCTTTATCCACTGTGCAGTATCATTTTACCTCCTGCGTTAGCGGACCCGGAGGGCAAAGTAAAAGGGACGGGACGGTGGACACCCTGCTGGCCCTCTCAGACTCTCTAACATCCCACCAATATGAGACTTAGGTTTCCCACAGGAGCAATACCTGTGCTGCTACTTGGACCCGGCGCCAGCCTGAAGCCTGCCCAGGTGAGCTCCTACCTAACTCGGAGACGCGTCACGAATCAGACATCATCATCCTCAGTTCCAGAAGAGCCACCTGACTCTCTCCCGGGTTACAGGTGGCCGACTTGGAACTTACCTGGTCTTTGCGGCTCCCCCGCAGACTCGCCTCCCGTCAACGTTAGGAACGCGCTTCGCCCTCCCGCTGCGGGGAGCGGGGTTTTCACGGGGCGAGCTGCAGGCAGCCCCGCGGGCACCGAGCACCTGCTCCTGGCGGGGCTCACCCCACCTGCCCACGGTGACCGCGGGGCCCGGCGCGCGCCCCGGCCTCGGAAATTCCCACCTGCCGCGCCCCGCACGCGCTGAGCCCCGCCCCCCAGCGCTCTGGCCCCAGGTGTGCGCAGCGTCTGGCGCGCCCAACCCCGAAAGTTCTGGGACCTCCCCCGGGCGAGGACGGAGCTGCGAGAGCGGGAGGCGGGGCTGGGCAGGTGCAGGCGCGGAGGAAAGGCCGGAGGACCCGTTCCCAGAGTGCCGCGCGGTGATCCCTGGGGATTGGACTACATTTCCCATAGTCCTCTCCGCTCGCCTCCTGAGCTGACTGAGCGATCCTTTTGGCTTTATTAGAGTTTCGGGAAATATTGTGGGTGAGCATCATTCTCCCCACGTTCTTTTAGAGCCGCCACATTCAATGTGACCCTTGCAATCCAATGCCGTGCTTGCCCCTGGATCAGATCCCGACTGAAAAAACAGCCCCAACCACCGACTATAGAGACAATTTGGGAAATTCGAATATGGGCTGGGAATTAGGAATATTAAGGAACACATAGTTAGTCTTGTTTGGTATGAAACTAATAAGGGAATTACAGAGGAAATATAGTAATTTATTTAAAGGCACGGCTAGATAAGTACTTAGGATTGAAATTATACATTTGAAATTATACATTTGTAAATTGACTTTAATTGTAATTGACTTTAGCATATATGGCAAATAACTTTTAAAATGGAAGAATGGGTGCTTATTTTGCGGTATTCTAATTTTCTGTGCGGAAAGTAGTGCAAAGTAGCAAACAAAATTTTAAATGAGTTCTTCACCTGTGTGCCTATGGAGTTCAAGTGGCCAAGAGAAGTCAAAGGACATAAAAATATCTCTTATGATTAAGGATGTGAGATGTATATGTTATTAGAAAATGGAGGACAGAAATCCAATAAAAGACTAACCATCTTTTGACCAAAGGAAAGAAAAAAAGGAGGGGAATGCAAGCACACTTTTCAGAAGTAATTAATGCATAAAAAATGACATAAGCAAATGTTCAGGGAGATGCAAATCATGCAACTTTAATATAAGACTTTGCAGGATACATGTACAGATGTAGAACAAGAGAACTTGAGAACTTCATGTGGGAGAAATGGTGTTGCAAAGCAATGGAGAAGAGTGGAATATTCAATTAACCCCCTTAGAACTTGGCATTAGGCATCTGGAATAAAAGCAAAGCTGCATCTATAACTCAGAAATTACTAATCACTCTTACAGGGAATCAAAATATGAACATTTGAAAGAAAATTTCAAAATTCTTTATGGAGATGTCATATATGTATGTATATGTTTATATATGTACACATGTACACATACACACACATATAAAACACCATCTCCTAAAATATTCATCCTCCAGCCTGTCTTAACACCCACATCTTAATGCTCAGCAGCCAGAGGACCCACCAAACCCTTGTTTTTGGCCATGAAGTGGTATTAAGTTTTACATAGTTAGTTATATCAGTGTTATTTTTTGACCTTTGGGACTTGTGCCATGTTTTGAAAGACTGTCCCAACTTTAATTTCTTTTCATGCAATTCATATATTCTATACCTAAACTTTGAATATATTTATTTTGAAGTAAAGATTGAGAGATACATATTTATTCCCCAAATTAATTATGATCCCAAGTGTGACATAATAACTCAATATTTCAGGATGCCTGGGTGGCTCAGTGGTTAAGCATCTGCCTTCGGCTCAGGGCGTGATCCCAGAGTCCTGGGATTGAGTCCCACGTCGGGCTTCTTGCATGGAGCCTGCTTCTCCCTCTGCCTATGTCTCTGCCTCTCTCTCTCTGTGTCTCTCATGAATAAATAAATAAATTCTTTTAAAAATAACTCAATATTTCCCTATAAATGTGAGATATATTACTTTTTACATTTGTATTTATATATATGTATATATATATATATTTTAAAGACTCATTTACTCAGATCTTTTTATGGATTTTATGGTCTATTCCCTTGGTGTATCATTTTACCATATATCACACTATTTGAATTATTGTAGCTTTATTATGACCTTTATTTCAATTTTTAAAGATTTTTATTTATTTGAGAGAGAGAGAGAGAGAGAGAGAAAGAGTGAGTGAGAGAGCACAAGCAGGGGGCAGAGGGAGAAGCAGGTTCCTTGCTGGGCAGAGACCTGGATGAGGGACTCGATCCCAGGACTCTGGGATCATGACCTGAGCTGAAGGCAGACGCTTAATCAACTGAGCCACCCAGGCGTGCCTTATTATGACTTTTATTATTAAGTAAAGCTAATCCTTTCTCATGACTAGTACTTTTTCCAAATTTTCCTAACTGTTCTCATGTGCTATTCATTTAAATAAACTTTAACATAATTTTTTAGGGTCCAACCTCTAAAGAAACTTATGTTGAGATTTCAATTAGAATCAAACTGTGTTTATGAGTTAATTGGCTAGATATATTTTATAACTGCAATGACATCTTCCAGTCTAACATCAATATAATCTTTTATCTCTTTAAATCTCTTATCATGAGTTAATAGTTTTTCTTATAGATGCTCATACAGATGTTTACATACATAAACATTTCAACTAAGTTTACTATTTTCAGTTTGATTTTTGATATGATTATAAATGGAACTTTTCAAATATTTTCTAACAAATATACTTATAAAAAAACAAAAAAAACAAATATACTTATTTACATATAGGAAAGCTGCCTATTTTTATGCATTAACAGCATTTCTTGCAGAATTCTGTTATTGTTTCACTAGATTTTCTATTAGTTATCTTGGATTTCATGCTAATAATGACAAATTTGCCTGCTTTTTTCCAATATTTATGATGATTTGTCATTCTTTAATGAACTAAAAAATAGGGGAATCCCTGGGTGGCTCAGCGGTTTAGCGCCTGCCTTCGGCCCAGGGGGTGATCTTGGAGCCCCAGGATCGAGTCTCACGTCAGGCTCCCTGCATGGAGTCTGCTTCTTGCTCTGCCTGTGTCTCTGCCTCTCTCTCTCTCTCTCTCTCTTTCTGTCTTTCATGAATAAATAAATAAAATATTAAAAAAATAGTTAAGTACAAAAAGGCTGGTGGAGCTATATAAATTAGAGCTAACATACAGATTACTAATGGAAAGTGGTCAATATATACATTCATCCAACATACTTTTTGGAAATGTGCTGTATGACATACATCATTTTATATACCACAGTAACAAGGAGAGAATAAAATAAATAAAAACCCCTACTTCAATGGAATTTATGATTGTGGTTGGTGATGGGAATCTATCAATCAGGATCTGAACAACAAATAAGTGTTATCCTTACATCAGACACCTGAGAAAATTTAATAAACCACTCTTAACAAAGCATAGAAAGGGTTAAGGGAAACCAAGAGGGGATGGTGAAGCACCAACTGGTGACAAGAGGAAGACATTACCACCCTCTGAAGGAAAGGGGAGAATATTAACAGAGTCTGGCAATAAAGGCCCCTCCATTCAGAGCAAAGATGTTATGTTGAAGAGCTCTGCCATGGCTAGCCAATGGCTCAGCACAGGGAGAGGTGAAGCAAATCTGCTTCTCATCCATCTTCTAATCTCCTATCCCCAGTATACACATTTCTATCTCTCGATTCTGTGCCTGTTCTATCCATACACCTTCACTCTAGACCTTTTTATACCAAATTTCCAGCCTATTTTTTCTTAGTCCTCTCTTACTCTTAGGTAAGGAGCCATTGGCCATAAATCAACATTAATATAAAGTTAAGGCATCCCTTCTTCAGCAAATACAGTTAGTCAAAATCCCTCCCAAACTCTGTGCACTGGGAAGATTTGCCTTCACCCCACCTTTTCAGGGTGACCCTGACTGTGTGTGGCTGTAAGGAAGCAGCTTTTCACTTACAGCCTATGTTGCCATACCTTGCAGACTTATCTATAAATGGATTTTTCCCTCCTTTGTTAACCCAGTATAGCAAGCTCCCCACAAGACCATAAGGAGAGTTGACAGACAAGGAGTTAAGGAGTAGGAGTAGTTACCATTCAAATGTAAACCACTTACTCAAGCAGTGTGCTTACATCTTCTGGTTCTATTTTGGTCAGTCTTGTATTTACCATTTATTTTAACAGAGTACCAGCATCACACACAGATTATAGCAGGTAATGACAGAGAAGTTTGGTCACATAGTCTCTCACCATCTCATAATCAGTAATTTAGTTTGTACAAGGGCACAGTATCAAGGTAGAAGCTACTTGTTTCTTTTTTTTTTAAGGTTTTATTTATTCATAAGAGACATACAGAGAGAGGCAGAGACACAGAAAGAGGGAGAAGCAGGCCTCCTGTGGGGGACCTGATGTGGGACTTGATCCCGGGACCCTAGGATCACGCCCTAAGCTGAAGGCAGATGCTCAACCACTGAGCCCCCCATGTGTCCCAAGAAGCTGCTTGTTTCAATGGAGAATACTCAGCAGAAGCAGAAAGCATGCCTAATTCCAAAACTCTAGGAGTCTGGACTGTATTCCTTCTGTGGGCATTACTAGAGGTTCCACACTTGATCTCTGACTACAGAGACCTTTACAATGCTATTGAGTCCAGTGGGTCATAAGGCTCACAGGACAACACAGTTTGCATCATGTTCTAGACTACCTGCAGAACTTTCCGTTGCTCCAACCCCCCTGAAAAATGACAGCATTATGGGACATCCAAAAAATAGATCAAAGTAGCTTATCCAAAATTGTTGTAACTTGCCTCCGGAATTTAACAACGCCCATCAAGCCTTTGGCATCACCTATGTGGTGGATTGCAAAAATGCAACAAATTGTTTCTCACTTTTGGGGAGCTATTTGAATATACTCAGACTACCGAACCTCTAGAGACTTCATTTTTATAATAGTTCTTTTACTTTTAAATCCCAATTTCCACTGATTGTTATGAATACTTTTTACTTAGAAATCTAATGGGCTTCTATTTCCTGTTCACCAGTTTTCTAATTAACATAATGTCATCTCTTATAGACCAAAGTAATA